TGCAGGTATATATATACATATATATCACAGTACAAGCAAAGTCTACAGCAAGTGAGGAAACGTGGGCACAAGGCCTAACAACGTACAAAAACGCTGATGATCACCAGACGGAAGTGCCTTGGTGAAGATATCAGCAGTGTTGGCCCGAGTGGCCAAGTGAGCAAGACGAAGCTGTCCACGCTGCTGCAACTCTCGAGCAAGGAAGTAACGCAGAGCGATGTGCTTCGTTCTATGCTCCAGTCTGTGCTCCTGACACAAGACAATGGCGGCCTTGTTGTCTACATACATAACTGGAGGAGAACGAGGCCGCTCTCCCAGGTTGGTCAGCAGGTAGGTGAGCCAGCGTAACTCCAGTGCAGCCATGGCTGTGGCATAGATCTCAGCCTCACAACAGGAGCTGAGAACAGAAGACGAGTGTGTAGACCGCCAAGAAATAGGGCCAGAGCCAAGACTGAAGGTGTATGTCAGAATCCCAACCACTAGACCATTGGGATAAAAGGGCTTGTTTCAGTAGCGAGTCAGTGCGCCCATAACCTCCCAGACGAACGAGCCTGTAACCCTCTCCAGGATCAATCGGGCATCCACAGTGCAGATCTACTGACACCCCCCCACATTGGGAGGCCCAGGACTAAGCACAGCGGCAACGACCTACATGTGCATACACCGGGAATCGAACCCGAGACCGCTCTGATACCATGTCAGAATCCCAACCACTAGGCCATTGGGATAAAAGGGCTTGTTTCAGTAGCGGGTCAGTGCGCCCATAACCCCCCAGACGAACGCGCCTGTAACCCTCTCCAGGATCAATCGGGCATCCACAGTGCAGATCTACTGATAGTGTAACCCTGTAACGACCGCTGCGTAACCAGGTCGTCAACCCAAAAAGCGTCCGAGTGCCCAGTGAGGACAACGTCGCCCCGTCCTCCAAGCACAAGACCCATGCCCGATGTACTGCACAAGTAGCACAGTACCCTCTTAGCAACATCCATGTGCACCTTTTGGTGCCTACCAGGAGCCATGTAGCGAGCCAGAAGGCCAAGAGGGTACGCAAGGTCAGGTCGAGTGCAGGTCATCAGGTATATGAGGCAGCCCACTAGCTCTGGGTAAGGACCACTCGGCTCTACGGACTCGTCCGAAGGTGGAGCTGAGAGCGAGTGACCTGTAGCCAGAGGAGTGGCCTGTGCCGAGGACCAGGTGAAGCCGAAGCGCTGAAGGACCTGCTGCACCATGTGTGACCGAGTCAGTGGTATGGTGCGGCGTGCTCTGTCCCGGGTGATCTGCAAGCCAAGGTAACTGTGCAGCTCACCCAGGTCTGTGCACGTGTGTCTCTTCTGCAGCTCCGACTTCACCAGGGCAAGAGCCTCACTGTCAGCAGTGGCAAAGACCAATTTGTCGACGTACACGAGGATGTAGAACGGCGGCAACAAAGTGTCGGTGCGCAGAAACAGCGACGGGTCAGCAGTGGAAGGAGCAAACCCAAGAGCCGCAAGTGTCATCCTCAGTGTGTCGTGCCCCTCACGCGGCGCCTGGCGGAGACCGTAGACTGGCCGCCGGAAGCTTCACTGGGTACCAGGAGGGAACGACCCAGTGAAGCCAGGTGGGCGGCGCAGCCAGATCTCCTCGTGCAGGCTGCCCTGTAAGAAAGTTGTGCTGAAGTCAAGAGAGTGAAGCTCGTAGTCACGCTGAGCGGCAACGTGCAGCAGCATCCGAAGAGTGGCCATCTTCACGGTGGGGGAGAAGGTCTGGAAGAAGTCAACTCCCTCCCGCTGACTAAAGCCTCGAGCCACGTAACGAGCCTTGAAGACAGGCGGAGAACATGGTGGCCGTTTCACCCTGAAAATCCACATGCCATCGATGATGTTCGCCCAAGGAGGGGGAACCTCGTCAACGTAAGTGCCTGTGGACTTCCAGGATGCCATCTCTGCGTCCATGGCTGTCTGCCACTGAGAGAAGTACTCACCCGCGATCGCCTCAGTGTAAGAGCGCGGGGTCGGGATGTCTGGAGCATCCGGGTCTCCATCAGGGGCAAGCAGCATGGCCTCGAGATGAGGTGCAGCGGATGCAAGACACTCAAGGTCCTCTTGCCTATCCTCAAGGACGTCCGTGCTAAGAGCACACTCACCCCCGGAGGACGGAGGACAGACAGACTCAGACTCAGCAACAAGACTAGCGGCGTAGTCTAGACGACAGGCAGCATTAAAGTCAACAAGCTTAGCGACTAAGGCAGACGCAGCAGCAGACTCAAGCGATGGGTCTGTGACAACAGTGGCTACCAGACGCGTGATAGTAGCGTGAGCAGCACAAGCACGGTCAGACTCAGGCTCAGGAACGTCACGCAGAGAAGACGCATGAGGGGACGGCAGGGGAACACGCTGCGGAGCAGAAGAAGGACGCAAGGCCATAAGGTGTGTGCCGGGGATAGCCGGCGGACGCTCATGAGGAACACGATGACCAGTACGGACAGTGCAGACAGGCAAGACAGGACGAGACGCTGGCTCACGACACTCAGCAAGACCTCCTGTTTGCTCAGTGTAAGGAGAAGGAGCAGGCAGCTGTGAGCCAGGCTGTAACGAAAGACTAGTAGAAGACGGGGCTAAGAACCTGGCGAAGCACGGAGTTAGGCGGTGGCAGAGACGAAGGCGACAGCGGAGCGAAGAACATTCGCGGCTGGGCAGCGCCACCAGTACCAGCACGTCCATCACCTCCAGCACCAGCACCTCCAGTGCCAGCACCTCCAGTACCAGCACCTCCAGTAGCTCCAGAACCTCCAGCTCCAGCGCCTCCAGCACCAGCACCTCCAACAGCTTTAAGACCTCCAGTGGCTCCAGTACCTCCAGCCCCAGCACCTCCAACAGCTCCAGGACCTCTTGTAGCTCCAGAACCTCCAGCGCCAGCACCTCCAACGCCAGCACCTCCAACAGCTCCAGTGCCTCCAGTAGCTCCAGAACCTCCAGCGCCAGCACCTCCAGTGCCAGCACCTCCAACAGCTCCAGGACCTCCAGTAGCTCTAGAACCTCCAGCGCCAGTACCTCCAGTACCAGCGCCACCAGCAGCAGCACCCCCAGACTCAGCAGAACCACCAGCCCCAGCAGCTCCTGTACCTCCAGTACGAGCACCTCCGGAACCAGCCGCTCAAAAAACTCCAGTAGAAGCGCCTCCAGTAGCTAAGACACCAGCTCCAGCGTCTCCAACGCTAGCGCCAGCCGCAGCAGGGCCCCCAGCTCCAGCAGCACGACCCTGACGGCTAACGTACCACTCACGCAGCTGCTGTGGGGAGAGAGGAAGACGCCGACTAGAGAGCTGCGGCGCAGCACCAGCGGAGCGACTACGGAGGCGGCCGCTCCAAGGAGACTGCACACCAGGCGCCTCAGTGCCCCCAGGCACAGTACCCCCAGACTCAGTATCCCGAGGCGCAGCACCCCCAGACTCCGCACCTCCAGGCTCAGCACCCCCAGGCTCCTCACGCCCAGGCTCAGCACCTCCAGGCTCCACACCCCCAGGCTCAGCACCCCCAGGCTCCGCACCCCCAGGCTCAGCACCCTCAGGCTCCACACCCCCAGGCTCAGCACCCCCAGAAGCAGCACCCCAAGCAGGACCACCCCCAGCAAGACCTGAGTCACCAGTGACCTCGACCGGCTCAGTCAAGGGAGGAGGGTCTACCTGAGACACACCTAAAGGAGCAGGACCTGGAGCGGGGATGGGGTCTACCTGGGGAGGACCTGGAGCGAGAAAGAGCGGCGGGGGGGGGAGAGAGGCAGTGCGGTAGGGAAAGAGATGGTAAAAGGGGACCGACTCGTCAAAGGTGACGTCTTGAGACGCAAAGACACAGCGCGAGGCGGGGTTGTAAAACTGCCAGCCAGGCACGTCAGGGACAAAGCCAAGGAAGACGCAGGGAATAGCGCAAGGGGAGAGCTTGTCCACAGTGGTATCGCGGACAAAGGCACGAGCACCCCAGACCCGGAAACGCGACGCATCGCCAACCTCCCCTGTCCAACGTAGTGTGGGCGAAGTCTCCGGCACGGAGACACGGGGCCAGAGGTTGAGCTGATGCGCGGCGTACCGGACCGCAAACGGCCATAGAAAATGGGGGGCAGCCGCATGGATCATGGAGGTACGAGCGACCTCCATGACTAAGCCAATGCGGCGCTCAGCAACCCCATTCTGCTGCGGAGAGGCCGGAAGCGTGAACGTCTGGCAGATGCCATGCTCCTCACAGTAGGCTCGCAAGAGTTCGGAGGTGAACTCACCACCTCTGTCGGACTGCAGACGAAGGACAAGAAAGTCCGAGTGGAACCGCTCGCGGAGCTGGAGACGCACAGCGCGGATCCAAGGGATCAAAACATCAGGGACCTCCCCCTTGCGCTGCAAGGGGAAGACCGTGGTGTAACGCGTGTAGTCGTCGACTACCAGCAGGAAGTACCGCTCGTGCCCCTGTCCATGGACGCGGGTTGGGCCCCACACGTCCAGGTGGAGAGTCTGCAGGGGAGCCTCTGTGGGAGGGAACGAGGAGGAGTGAGGAGTGGCACGCTGCCGCCCCTCAACGCAAGGAATGCAGGGCGGCGCAGGCAAGGGAGGGAGGGAGGGCACAAACCTAGGAAGACTAGAGACCAGGCGGCGAGAGTGCATGCCACGAAGGCGAGGCAGGGAGGAATGACCAAGGCGGTGGTGCCACAGGAGAGTCTGGTGCGACAGGCTGCGACACTCACACCGGGTAGCTACCTGAGCGGACGCGTACAACTGAGGAGACAAAGGGGTGGAGCGCGACGCAGTGGTGAGGGTGTACAGACTGGACCCAGGCGCACGTGTGAACGTGGCCAGGTGGCGGCCGGTCCGAGAGCACGTGCAGATCGCCACACGCTGTCCTCCAGGAGTAAAGGTGTCAACCCAGTGATCCTGAAGGACGGCGGTGCTCACCAGGTTTGTAGAGAACAAGGGGAGGTGGAGACCAGACAGCTCACCAGACAGGACCGCAGTACACGGAAGCACAGTACTGGTCTGTGCTAGCACTGGGCCCCCCAAAGGGGTCAGCCAGTGAGACAGGGACAGGTGCAGGGAGGGGAGTGACTCTGGTGCTATCGCGAAAGAAATAGCGGGAAGCACCAGAGTCAAGTGTGAAGGTGTGCAAAGCCTAAGCAGACGCAGTACCAGGGAGAGAAGACTCGCTAGCACCTAGGGCTGCCGACTCTATACATGGGTCAGGCGGCATACACAAGTAGCAGTCACCCTCAGCACTAACAGTCAATGCATACATGGCAGCATGAATTGCATCATAGTCAAGATCAAAGATAGGAACACCACGCCTAGACAGGTCTGCCAAGTGGGGTCACTCAGTAGCCTCCGTAAACTTGGCGCGCCAGGCGTCGCTGAGCCGAGAGAAGCAGTGGTACTCAGTGTGAGAACCGTTGCATGTGCGACCAGTGCGGGGACCCGTGCGAATGTTATAGGGGCAGCGAACAGGACCCCCAGACGCCCCACGCTGAGCATACCAATCACGAAGCTGCTGAGTCGTGGGGGTCTCACGCTGGCTCTGCTGCTGCTGCTGTCCCTGGCCACCACCGGAGCTCCCCTTCTGGCCGGATCCACTCCAGCCCCCACCACCGCTGCCACCACCGCTCCCTCCACCCCCACTACCGCCGCTGCCACCTCCACCGCTCCCAGTGCCACTGCCGCCCCCACCACCACCTCCGCCCCCACGACCACCCCCACCACCTCCACCTCCCCCGCCGCCTCCACCACCGCCTCCTCCACCGCCACCCCCACCTCCCCTGCCACCCTTGCCGCCCCTGGCGCTGCATCACTTCCCACTAGGAGCGGAAGCAGCCCCGACCTCCTCAGCACCAAGGTAGTCAAGAGCAGCAGCAGCGGAGGCATAGGAGGGGGCAAGAGGGGAGGGGGAGCACCCCTCAAAGAGGGGAGTGCGAGGAGTGCCACGAGCAGCAACTACAGCGAGAATGTTCTTTTCGGCTGCTAGGAGGTGCTTCTCGAAGTCGTCGACAGTGAGAGTGGGAGGGTCTAGCGCGAGAAAGTGGTCCCTGACGGAGCGAAGAGTGTGAGAGAGGCGGGTGACAAGGAAGTAGAGAGTTAAGTACATCGGTGGTTGATTCTGGGCGAGGAACTTGTCTGAGAGGGCAGTACGAAAGCGAGCGTCGCTAGTGCGCAGGTGAGAGATGAGGTTCTCAGCAGTGGTAAACGAGGACAGGTCGGGGAACAGGTAGGGTAGCATAAGGCGACCTATGGCTGCAGTGGCCGGGGAAGAGTAGCGTGCAACTACAGCGTCATAAAGTGCCTTAGCAGTCTTGTGCTGGCTAAAATGCGCGCGCTCTGTGATCGGCAGATGGTTGCCAATAACGAGGCGCGCAGGAGCATCGCGGGTCTGCCACTGTGAGCGGTCAAGAGCAGGAGCAGTGTCAGCAGGAGCAACGGCAGTGCCAGACGCGTAATCAAACAGTGAAACACTGTCCTTGGCATCAGTCAGAAGAAACAGTTGCAGGTCGTCGAGCCAGGTGGTAAACTCTATCGGGCGACCGTCAGGATCGAAAGCAAGAACGTTAAGCGTCGCCATTATTGCGGTGCAGGCAAGAGTAGCGCGCAGGCGGCAAAGCAGAGGGCAGGCCAGGAGAAACCGCATGCAAGGCTGCAGTGACGGCGCACGAGCTGCTGGGGCGGCGCGCAAGTGGCTAGGGCGGCGCACGGGGCAGCAGCTGTCAGTAGATCTGCACTGTGGATGCCCGATTGATCCTGGAGAGGGTTACAGGCGCGTTTGCCTGGGGGGTTATGGGCGCACTGACCCGCTACTGAAACAAGCCCTTTTATCCCAATGGTCTAGTGGTTGGGATTCTGACATGGTATCAGAGCGGTCTCGGGTTCGATTCCCGGTGTATGCACATGTAGGCCGTTGCCGCTGTGCTTAGTCCTGGGCCTCCCAGTGTGGGGGGGTGTCAGTAGATCTGCACTGTGGATGCCCGATTGATCCTGGAGAGGGTTACATGCGCGTTTGCCTGGGGGGTTATGGGTGTTGGGAACAAACAATCTTAAGCGCCTCTGTCGTGTCGAAACACCAAGACACAAGCGAAGCAGCGCATATGGAGGCACCACCGAGTCAACCCTCGGAGGTTGATGTAACTGCCGGAGGTTACGTGAAAGTCAAAGGTCAGCGACCTTTGACCTGACAAATGCAGCGCGACAGCAAGGACACACAACTGACTCGACATTGAGCAGTTGCCCGAGTCGCACTGTATCGAACCGCAATAGTAAAGTAGTTATAATGTCTCTTCATATTCTCTGTATTCATATATATCCTTGTATCTCTTTGCTTTAATCAACTTACTTTGCCCTCACATACTAGCGCAAGGTGGTTCAAATACCTTACTTAAAACGCTTCCGCTACTACATCACTTTACTCAGGCTTTAACTCTACCAAAGATCCTAAAGGGCACTCAGCCCAACATGGTATCAGAGCAGGTTAGAGTTAAATCATTTCTCCTCAATACTTAATACACCAAGAGATATGTCTACTAGAAAGGAGAGGAGCTCCTCCAACGGCTCTCCTGGTACTACTCCTACTCCACCTCCTGCCTCTGGCCTGCAGACAGAGGAAGGGACAACAACGAGACCGGCAGCTGGGTCTACTGAAACACCCGCAAACCGAGGCGTGGGCTTCGATCCAAGCATGATGGAGAAATTCTTCTCCTTCATGTCCTTCTACTAGCAGCATCAGCAAGGAGGACCTGTGCAATCAAACAACAGCAACAACAACTACAACGTGACGCCCATGAGTCTCAATGGCTCATCCTACGCACGCGGGAATCAACAACAGCAACCTACCTTCGCTCCGTACGAGCCTCAGCGCGGCTCCGTCAGCTTCATGCCACAACCACAACCTGCACCGGGACAAGAGAGAACGTTGGACGCACTACAAGTTCAGTCGCAGTTCGCGCACGTTCTAAAACTGCAAACGACAAAACCCTTCAACGGGAAGGACTTCTTCACCTGGTCATTCGAATTTGAACTGATGATGGAAGGAGCGCAAATCCTCGGCTTCTTCGACGGGTCCCTGCCATACCCAACAAACGGCACACAGTATGAGAAGCAGCAGTACACCTATCAATCAATGATGGCGTACACGATACTGCTGAGGAACATCACTCCATCTCAACAACAAAACATTCAGTCTTACCGAGGCTACGGCAACTCCGCGGAGCTCGCGTACAATCACTTGAAGACCCTGTATCAAGCAACAGACAGCGTAAACCAAAGTCGGTTAATGGCGCAGCTAACTACCATCGAAATGAAATCGGGCGAGAAGGGAATGGCGTATATCAGCCGCTGCCGCGAGCTGCGCGACAAGCTTCTTCGATGTGGAGGATCGATTTCAGAGGACGCCTTCGTCACGGTTGTCATCGGCGGTCTTGGTCCTCACTGGCGCTCCACTCGCGCCATACTACGAGTGTTGAGATACTAGCGTGACTTAGGCTTAGGAGCCATTGCTAGTGAGTGTCTTAGTAGCTTAGGTTTAGGGTTGAAGATGAATGTGGAGAAAGGTGAAAGGAGAGAATGGGGCTTCACTATAGGTTTGCAAGAACATATAGCAAATGAACAAAGAAGGTGCACCACCAAACAAAGTTTATAATAACTACACTAACTACAGCTACAGGCAGTTACAGATATATTCTGACACTCCCCCATAACTGCCTGCAGCAGAAGCTAATGCAGAGACACCCCCTGAAGGGGTACACCAAGCGCAGCAGGAGGAGAGGGCAAGTGAGGAGGAGGGATTATATGAGGAGAAGCTGCTGGCAGGTGAAGCTGCTGGCTCCAAGGCGGCTGCTTCGTGGAACCTTCCTCAGTCCTCCAACTCCCCTTTCCACACTCCTCGACAACCCTAGCACCTCTCCCCCAGCTTCCCCACACCCTCACACCCACCCCCCCAGCAGCAGTTGCAGCAGTGGGAAAGAAAGGACGAGGAGGGGAAGGGGATCACACACACCCATCACCCCCATACCCGCCACCCCCATAGCCTCTGTTCCACGGCTGCACGCGCAGCAGGGAGACGAAGAAGGGGGAGGGGGAAGAGCAGGGGCAGCATAGGCACGGGCAGCACAGGTACGGGCACCAACGGGCGGCGACGGGCAGCACAGGCACGGGCAGCACAGGCACAGGCAGCAACAGGCAGCAACGGGCAGCACAGGCACGGGCAGCAACAGGCAGCAACGGGCAGCACAGGCACAGGCAGCAACGGGCAGCAACAGGCAGCACAGGCACGAGCAGCAACGGGCGGCAACGGGCAGCACAAGCACGGGCAGCAACGGGCGGCAACGGGCAGCACAGGCACGGGCAGCAACGGGCGGCAACGGGCAGCACAGGCTCGGGCAGCAACAAGCGGCAACGGGCAGCACAGGCACGGGCAGCAACGGGCGGCAACGGGCAGCACAGGCACAGGCAGCAACAGGCAACAACGGGCAGCACAGGCACAGGCAGCAACGGGCGGCAACAGGCAGCACAGGCACGGGCACCAACAGGCAGCACATGCACGGGCAGCAACGGGCGGCAACAGGCAGCACAGGCACGGGCAGCAACGGGCGGCAACGGGCAGCACAGGCACGGGAAGCAACGGGCGGCAACGGGCGGCAACGGGCAGCACAGGCACGGGCAGCAACGGGCGGCAACGGGCAGCACAAGCACGGGCAGCAACGGGCGGCAACGGGCAGCACAGGCTCGGGCAGCAACAGGCGGCAACGGGCAGCACGGGCACGGGCAGCAGTACCGAGTCCAGGAGCGGCGGCGCATACAGCTGTAAGGTCGGCGCCGTGGGCTGCTGCTGGGGCGGCTCGCGGGGTCCATGGGCGGCTGCTGAGGTCCAGGGGCGGCTGCACCAGGGGCGGCTGCTGAGGTCCAGGGGCGGCTACACCAGGGGCGGCTGCTCCAGTGGCCAGGGGCGGCTGCTCCAGGGGCGGCTGCTCCAGGGGCGGCGCTGGTGCAAGGTAGGCCCGCGCGCGGCTGCAACGCTTGCACGGGCGCAGGTGAGGCAGAGGCGGTGGCCAAGGGGGAGGGCGCCGCGACGAGCAGGGACGGCGCCCAAGGGGTGCCGCTACGAGCAGGGGCGACGCCCCAGGGGCGCTGCGACGAGCAGGGGCGGCGTCCAGGGGGCGCCGCGACGAGGAGTGGGGACGCCCCGCGGGTCCCGCAGGGGCGTCGCGACAAGCAAGGCGACGCCGTGCGGGTCCTGCAGGGGCGTCGCGACGAGCAGGAGCGGCGACGCCCGGGTCCCGCAGGTGCGTCGCGACGAGCAGGGACGGCGCTTCGCAGGGCGCCGCGAAGTGGAGGGTACGGGCGGGCAAAACAGGCCCGCGCGTGGACATGAGGCAGGCGCGCAGGCGGCGTGAGGGCAGGCCACGCGCGGGGCAAGAAGACGCCGCGCGCCCAGGGCGCACGGCGGGCAGAAGCCCGCCGTGCGCCCCGAGCACACGGCTGGCGCACAGCGAGAAAAATACGCCGCGCGCCCGAGGCGCGCGGCAGGACGATAGGCAGCGGAAGCAGGAAGGCAGCAGGAAGGTACCTGCTCTGAATACCATGTTAAGAGACTAGCGTGACTTAGGCTTAGGAGCCATTGCTAGTGAGTGTCTCAGTAGCTTAGGTTTAGGGTTGAAGATGAATGTCGAGAAAGTTGAAAGGAGAGAATGGGGCTTCACTATAGGTTTGCAAGAACATATAGCAAATGAACAAAGAAGGTGCACCACCAAACAAAGTCTATAATGACTACACTAACTACAGCTACAGGCAGTTACAGATATATTCTGACAACGAGCCCACGGAAAAATCTCTGAAGCGGCACTTTGCGCCGAAATCCACGCCGAACAGCAAGACATGGACCTGCAAGAAGAACGACAAAGGAGAAAGGTGTCAGTGCCCGAATTCGCGTTTCACACTCAACGGCGCTACAACAACAACAATCGTCCGAAATTCATACCTCCGTTCTGCCACCTTTGCAAGACTTCAGGGCATCCTCGTACGCACTGCCCAAATCGACAACGCCAACTTCGCCCTTCAAGCAGTCAAGTCACTTCAACGCAAGCAAACCCGACAACTTCAGTCCACGTCTCAACAACATCAACGGGACAACCTGCAAAAGAAACAAGAAACATCGTCAGCTGCATGGCAAGGCTGAGTGACTCCTGCACAACTGAGTCACCACCATATTACTCACCAGAAGAACAACTCCACAACAGAACGCCTCGCCGCGAGTCACTTCAACCAAACCCGACGTACGCCGCCATCGCCCAAAGCGAGCCGTCCGGAAAGGATACATGGTTCTTGGACAGTTGTTGCGGACAACACATGTGTTCCTCAGGACGTTTCGTTCAACGCGAGCACCAACTTCAACGAGAAGTCGTCATCACTGTCGCCAATAACCAGAACCTGCGCACACGACGGCAAGGGGTAGTGCAACTTCAGTCACGAGAGACGAATGTCGTACTGCAAATGTCAAAAGTCCTGATAGCAGAAGGACTTGGTTACAACTTACTGAGCGTCAGTCAGTTGATGGCGAAAGGCATACATCTGGAAGCCGACAGTACCACCCAGGAGTTCAAACTGTACCACGGGAAGGGCGGCCTCTACATCGGAAAGGCGATTCTGAAGAACAATGTTTTCGTCCTCGACTTCGTCCCAGACCTGGGCACCGCAGACAGTGACGGGATCGTCACCTTCACATCCTGGACGCACCCGCCGGATCTCGACCCCGACTTCAGTCCGGAAGGCTTCTGGTATTCACATACCATTCCTGAAGCAGAACAAACATGTGCGTTAGTAACAATCCAACATTCGGCAGCAGCAGAGACAACATCGGCAGCAGCAGAAGCAGCAGCAGAGACAACATCGGCAGTAGCAGAAACATCGTCGGCAGCAGCAGGAACAACGACACCAGTCCTCGTTGACGAAGCACCACCAACACCCGCACAGCAGCTGAATCCGATTCAACGGGAAGTCCACAGAAGCGCAAACTTCATCGCCAGCTTCTACTCCAACTCCGACGCGTATCAACGCTCACCCGGACACCGCGCCTCCGAAGATATCTGGCACGCACGCATGGGACACCCAAGCAACACTGTGTTAAACAACACAATAAGAGCAGGAGTCCTTGACAAGGACTCATTACTACTACTCGACGGCAAAGAACTTCAACGAGCACGAGGAACTTGTCTTACCTGCCCCGAAGCCGACTTACCACATCGGCCGTTCATTCCTCATCACAACCCGAGCGCACCCGCGTACGCACCACTCGAGAAGGTGTACAGCGATATCCTGTTCAATCGGGAACCAGGACAAGTTACATACAACTACACGATCACCTTCATCAACGCCGCCACCCGCTACGTCTGGCACCTAAACCTACCTAGCCGCAACATGGCACTCGCAGCCTTCGCTGCCTGGCTACCAGTAGCAGAAAGAGAGTCGGGCGCACAACTGAAAAGCTTCCAGTCAGACGGAGGGGGAGAATACACTTCTCAGCGATTCAAGCAGTACCTGGCGAAAAGGGGAATCAAGCAGCTCCTCTCTCTTCCCTACGCCCATCAGCAGCAAGGTGTGGCAGAAAGAATGAACAGGACTCTGCAGAACAGCATGCGCAAACTGTTACGTGGCATGCGGCTACCCAACCACCAGTGGCCTGCAGCAATGGACCACGCCGTCATGCTGCACAACTTGATGTCGTCGTCTTCACTTCCGAACAACGCGTCACCGCATCTGCTGTGGACAGGGAAACAGGGCAGCACAAAAATGTTACGAGTTTTCGGGTGCATGGTACAGTACCGACCCCCAGAAGCACGAGCGGGAAGATTTTCACAACGCGCACAGTGGGGACTGCACCTCGACATCGAAAAGAACTACAACGCGTGGAAAATCTTCGACGTCGACTCCAAGGAAACAGTAGCAGCACGTGACGTAATTTTCTACGAACGACTCACGCTTCAGACGTACCTTGCCAACTTGTACGACAATGAAGATCCCACAGGTGGCTTTCGTGGTGACCGAGCCTTCGCCTCAGCAGCGGACGAAGCAGACTGGGACGAGCAGAATGTGGACAACGCATCAGAAGAAGCCGGACCTCTCCCGTTTTGCTCCGTCAACGTCCCCATGGACGAAGACAACCCTCGCGAAAGCGCCAACGCCGAAGTCTTCTACCACTTCGCCGACAACGGTTACGTAACACCTGCGACAGCCAACACCCACGAAGCAGAACGGATAGGGCCGAATTTCATACCCGACCCAGAAGCGGGAGACGAAGCAGCTTATCCCGAGGACACAACTCTTCCCCGCTACTCACAGACTGGACTGCAGATTCTCGGCCTCGTCACCGCAGTCCACGGCACCTCTCTACCTAAGGAGCCTGCGACGGTTCAGCAGGCTCTGGGGGGGGAACACAGGGAAAAATGGCGTGAAGCCATAGACAGAGAGTTAAAGGCGCTGGAGGAACGGAACACCTGGAAAATTGTCCCCATCAGCGTGGCAAGGAATAAGACCATTCTCACCGGGAAATGGGTCTTCCGCATTAAAACGAAAGCAGACGGCACAATTGAGAAATTCAAAGCACGCTGGGTTGTGCGTGGATTCGATCAGGAGCACGGACGGGACTTCACCGAGACATTCGCCCCGGTCAGCCGACATACCTCACTTCGAATTCTCCTCGCAATCGCTGCTATGAAGAAGAAGAAGCTACGGCAAATCGATGTCGCCAACGCGTTCCTCTACGCACCTGTCTACGCGGAAATCTTCGTCGAGCTCCCACATGGTACCCACGGGGAACCGAACCAAGTCTGTCAACTGCTGAAATCACTCTACGGGATCAAGCAAGCTCCGCGGCTATGGCAACAGTACCTACACGCTCGCCTCACTCGCATCGGATTCCGTCAACTGCCTCACGACCAAGGGATGTACCGACTCACCAAAGACACCGACTACATTCTGTTGATCGTCTACGTAGACGACTTACTCTACATCGGCTCTACTGACGACATCACCACCTGGTTCGAAGGGGAGCTACAGAAGGACCTCACACTCACGGACTCCTCTAGCGTCACACAGTATCTCGGCTTACACATTCGGGAAGAAGAAGGCGCGATCTACCTCAACGCCGCTAAGTACGCCGACACCATCGCCAAACGCTTCGCGCTCACACCTACCACCATTTCTACGCCCTACCGCTACACGACAAGAAACCACGATGAAGGATCCTCTCTACTCAAATCCGCCGGGATACGCGACTACCAGAGAAAGCTGGTCTGCCTTCTCTTTGCAGCCGTCACCTGCCGCCCAGATCTATCCTACTCCGCAAGCCAACTCGCCACCTACCTCAAAAGACCTGAAGCAGAACACTTGGCGGAGCTCGACCGCGCTCTCCACTACTTCGTCAGTACCTCTACGATCGGTCTGACCTACTACAAGAACACAACTACACCGACGAAATTAATCGGCTACGTCGACGCCGATCACGCTGGCGACTCAGCCAATAGGCGCTCCCGCACTGGCTAAATATACCGCCTCGAACCTATCGGACCGATCTCCTGGCAATCGAGCAAGCAGGAACTAATCGCTCTCTCGTCAGCTGAAGCAGAATATATTGCACTCTGCTCAGCCACCAAGGAAGGACTCTATCTTCATGAGCTGCTGGAAGAAGCAAAGCTAGCCGAGTTACCCAACTTCACTCTGTTCTGCGACAACCAATCTGTGATTCGCATCGCCAACAAAAGTGGATTCGTGAACAAAACGAAGCATATCGCTCTGCGATATTTCTTCGTGAAAGACGAGATCGAGAAGGGGAAACTTGAACTATCCTACTGTCCCACGTCCGAGATGGCAGCTGACTACTTGACCAAGAAGCTCGGAAAACAGAAGTTCGAGTACTGCATGCTGCTGACTGGACAAAGCCACGTCACCATCAGCGACACTCCAGAAGCGAAGGGGAGTGTTGGGAATAAACAATCTTAAGCGCCTCTGTCGTGTCGAAACACCAAGACACAAGCGAAGCAGCGCATATGGAGGCACCAGCGAGTCAACCCTTGGAGGTTGATGTATTCGCTGGAGGTTACGTGAAAGTCAAAGGTCAGCGACCTTTGACCTGACAAATGCAGCGCGACAGCAAGGACACACAACTGACTCGACATATCCTCTGTATTCATATATATATCCTTGTATCTCTTTGCTTTAATCAACTTACTTTGCCCTCACATACTAGCGCAAGGTGGTTCAAATACCTTACTTAAAACGCTTCCGCTACTACATCACTTTACTCAGACTTTAACTCTACCAAAGATCCCAAAGGGCACTTAGCCCAACAATGGGCACACTGACCCGCTATTGAAACAAGCCCTTTTATCCCAATGGTCTAGTGGTTGGGATTCTGACAGCAGCAGGCCGGGCGCAGGCTCCTAAGGCGGCGCGCGGGGCAGCAGCGGGCCGCACGCGGGCTCCTAAGGCGGCGCGCGGGAAAAAAAAAAAGGCAGCGCGCGCAGGCAGCGCAGCGCAGGCAAGGCAGGGCGCGCGCGTGAGGCGCAGTGCAGCCAAGGCAGGTGGGGCAGTGTGGTAACCGCAACGGTAGGTGGGCCCGAAACGAGACGAACCTACGGACCTACTGCTCTTAATACCATGTCTGAAATACTAGGCAGGGATGAATCAACTACGAAAGTGTTGGGTACAAGTATGAAACCCTAAAAGGGGCTGTACCCCATATTGGCTACCCCACTATAGCCTAAACATATATAGCATACATATAATTTGGCATGGTTTGCTCCAGGCTCCACGCCCTCTACACTTGAACGTGTTATATCTGTAACGTGAGGTGTTTTCCTGCTCTTGGACGAATTATCAATGTTGCGCTGTGCGTTACATCTCAAGAATGCGAGTAGGAATAAGTTGGATATATGACAAAGTTGAAGGGAGCAGATAAGAAATTTGAGGTTATATATTGCTTGCTCCAGGTTACGGTAAGTTTGCTGCGCCGACCCCTGGCAATTGCAATAACGGGACGTAGGTACACAGAAACAAACCAAGCGGGATGGACCTATGATGTCCTTACCTACCTCGCCTTGAAACTCAGAATGCCGCTGATACCGCTGTCTCAATCCACAATGCCTCCATTTAGCACCCGGACCTCGTTATTATTCATCTTCGGTAGTATAGCTCAGGTAATTTTCGCGATTCTGTCATTGTCAACAGCAGAAGCAGCAGCAGCCGCAGCGCATTCGTTCGGACCGATTGAAGGTCATGCAGTAGCGTCAGCAGCAGCTTCTGGACTGTCCGTTTCCGCGTCTGCGTTGGGGTTGGATCAGAGACGGAGAGGTAGCGGCAGCAGCGCCTCGTTACAGCAGGAATCTAGCGCTAAACGGTAACGGGATTCATTCTTGTCCACGGTATAAACTTCCGAAACCCAAATGCTTCGTTATAGTGAGTTTCCGCTTCTGCCGTGGGGTTCGACCGGAGACGGAGTGCCAGGCCAACGGCAGCAGTGGCTCGTTACTGCAGAGGGAGAGGGGGAGAGTGGGAGTTATCAACTGAATGAGAGTTCCATTCTCCTTTCCGCTCGCATCACAACTTCCGCTCCCATCACACCCCTTTGTGCTCCGCGGATCTCTCAAGAGTGCAGACGGGTTTTGGGGTAGAGTATTTTCCCCTACTGAACTGAAACGAAGGAGGGGTTACTACTGAGAGTACCCAATTGCTTCTCATTTCATTCCCATCACACCGCTTTGTGCTCCGCCGCAGATCTCTCAAGAGAGTGCAGACGGCGCGGCGCGGGGGACGTGTGAGTCGCCTGCAGGAGTATCCTCGTCTGACCCCGTTGCTCCTCTCCCATCCCACCTTCCTCTCCCATCCCACCCCCTTGTGCTCCACAGATCCCTCAAGAGTGCAGAGGTTTGGGGGGAGGGGGGGCATGTGGGACGTGTGAGTCGCCTGCAGGAGTATTCTCAGCTGGCCCCGTTGCTCCTCTCCCATCTCACCCCCTTGTGCTCCGCAGATCTCCCAATCAAGAGTGCAGAGGGTGGGAGGCACGGGGGACGTGTGAGTCAAGGGAAAGAGTATCTCCTCCCTTGCATCATGAAAAAGAGCATACGTTCTCTTGCTCCTCTCCCACCATCACACCCCCTTGTGCTGTGGCAGGACACTCAAGAGTGCAGAGGGGGGTGTGCGGGGGACGTGTGCCCAGTGTAGGGAGCAGCTGAAGGAGCTCCAAGAATGGTTCGCAGGTGTGCAGTGCGGTAACGAGGTGTGCATGCGGCTGCGAGTGCGTAGTGTTGCTAGATATCACTGATTGAGGGGGTTAGTGGGGTGGGGGGAAGGGGTTGGGGGGGAGGGGAGGGGGGCGGGGCGTGTTCCCAGTGTCAGGAGCAGTTGAAGCAGCTTCCCGAGTGGTTCGCAGGTTTGCAGTGCGGTGACCAGGCGTGCATGCGGTTGCGAGTTCGTAGTGTGGTTAGATATCACTGATTGAGGGGTTAGTGGAGGGAGGGGGAGAGGGGTTGGAGGGGAGGGGAGGGGGGCGGGGCGTGTTCCCAGTGTGAGGAGCAGTTGAAGGTGCTTCACGAGTTTTGAGACGTCTCAAAAACAGTTGAAGGAGCTTCGCGAGTGGTTTTCAGGAATGCTGTGAGGTAGTGATGCAATCCGTTATGCAATCCATGGTGCATCACCTTTGCTGTTGAAATCAGCTGGGTTTGATCCGCTGCAAGCCTTCTAAGAGATTAACAACGATCTATAGAACTAAGTCTACCGGTACTAATCTGAAAAAATGAGGGAAGTCGTAAGAAAAAAAGTATTTTAGTCAGAAAGCCATACACAATAGGCCCGGATGTTCGCGTGCGAACGCGTTTTGGCCAACTAAGGCCTTCATCAGCATGATGAAGGCCTTTGCTGGCCAGAACGCGTTCACACGCGACATCTAGGCCTAATGTGTCTGGCTTTCTGATTAGTAGACCTTTTCTCACTAATTCCCTCGCCTTTCAGATTAGTAGACTAGTGCTATAGATCGTTACTCTTAGCAGGCTTGCTGTGTTTCGAACCCAACGAATTTCAGATGCAATCCAGTATGCAATCCGTGGTGCATCACCTTTGCTCCTCCACGCTTCCCCTTCCTTGCTCGCCTTGCCAGGGGTTGAAGCAAGCAAACTGGGCGATGCGGACAGCGAGGGGCAGCAAGAGGAGGGGGGGCGGGGGAGGGGAGGGTCGACTACTGATGTATCACCTATAATTCCTCCCTCTCTGATGTCCACTAACCCTCATCCGCACTCCTTCCCTCCCTTGCTCGCCTTGGCCGTTGAAGCAAGCAAGCTGGGGGATCAGGGCAGCGAGGGGCAGCAAGGAGGAGGGGGTTCGACTGATGTATCACCTATATTTCCTGCCCCACTAACCCTCATCCGCCCCTCCTTCCCTCCCTTGCTCGGCTTGGCTCTTGGCAGGTGTTGAAACAAGCAAGCTGGGGGATCAGAGCAGCAAGGGGCAGTAGGGTTGAGCAAAAAAACGAACACCTGTTCGGTTCGCCTCGAACGTGTTCGAGGCGAACCGAACAGGTTTTTTTTTTGGCTTAAAATGTTCGCCGAACAGTGTTCGATGTTCGCCCGAACACGTTCGTGTTCGGGCCGCTGCTGCAATTTGCCCGCGACGAACACGAACAGTGTTCGAGGTTCGCCCGAACACGCCTTCACAGGCGAACGGCGAACACCATTTTTTGCTCGAAGTGTTCGCCGAACCGAACAGTGTTCGGTTCGGCAAACGAAGGTGTTCGTGTAGGGGCGAACACGAACACGTTCGTGTTCGCCACTTGCTCATCCCTAAGGGGCAGCAAGGGGGAGGGGGAAGGGGGGGTCGACTGAGGGAGAATTCACAACTTGCACAATTTGCTGAATGAATCACCATTCCTCCTCCCCTCCTAACCTCCTCCTTTCTTCTATGGCTGGCTTTCACTACCCTCGCATTGGCAGGGGTTGAAGCAAGCAAGCTGGGCGATGCGGGCAGCGAGGGGCAGCCGGGGGGAGGGGGGGGAAGGGGAAGGGGAGGGGGCGGAAGGGGAGGCGCAGGGGGGAGGAGCACAGAGGCGGACGATGTTATGGAGCTGCAGAGCCGACTGGTGGAGAAGCAGGCTGAGTTGAAACGGTTGAAGGCGGAATACGAGGCTCTGCAGGTGGGTTCTGTGCGGTGTGGGCTGGTATGATGAGCCTAGGGTAAAACAGGCACAGAGGAGGGGCACAGGGGCAGGGGTGATGTGATGGAGCTGCAGAGCCGACTGTTGGAGAAGCAGGGGGAGCTGAAACAGCTGAAAGCGGAATACGAAGCCTTGCAGGTGGGTTTATGGGGCAGCGCACGTAAGGTAACAGGGGAGGGTGGGAGGGAAGGGAGGGATACAGAGGCGGGCGATGTGATGGTGCTGCAGAGCCGACTGGTGGAGAAGCAGGGGGAGCTGAAACGACTCAAGGCGGAATATGAGTCCTTGCATTGCAGGTGGGGTGCAGGTCGGTATGAGGCTGAATGGGAGGGGCACAGAGGCGAACGATGTGATGGAGCTGCAGATTCGACTGGTGGAGAAGCAGGGGGAGCTGAAACGACTCAAGGCGGAATATGAGTCCTTGCATTGCAGGTGGGGTGCAGGTCGGTATGAGGCTGAATGGGAGGGGCACAGAGGTGAACGATGTGATGGAGCTGCAGATTCGACTGGTGGAGAAGCAGGGGGAGCTGAAACGACTCAAGGCGGAATATGAGTCCTTGCATTGCAGGTGGGGTGCAGGTCGGTATGAGGCTGAATGGGAGGGGCACAGAGGCGAACGATGTGATGGAGCTGCAGATTCGACTGGTGGAGAAGCAGGGGGAGCTGAAACAACTGAAAGCGGAATATGAGGCCTTGCAGGTTAGGGTGGGTGGTTCGGTTCGGCCTGTGTTTAGAGGAGTGAAGGTGAATGCGGACAAGGCAGCGCTTGATGTGAAGGAGGTGCGTGTCTGTGTGTGTCTGTGCCTGTGTTTAGAGGAGTGAAGGTGAATGCGGACAAGGCAGCGCTTGATGTGAAGGAGGTGCGTGTCTGTGTGTGTCTGTGCCTGTGTTTAGAGGAGTGAAGGTGAATGCGGACAAGGCAGCGCTGGGCTGGATGTGAAGCGGTCTGAGTCGACTTTTGAGGCGCCTCAAAACGACTTTAGAGTGAGGGTGAATGCAGACAAGGCAGCGCTGGGCTGGATGTGAAGCGGTCTGAGTCGACTTTTGAGGCGCCTCAAAACGACTTTAGAGTGAGGGTGAATGCAGACAAGGCAGCGCTGGGCTGGATGTGAAGCGGTCTGAGTCGACTTTTGAGGCGCCTCAAAACGACTTTAGAGTGAAGGTGAATGCAGACAAGGCAGCGCTGGGCTGGATGTGATGCTGACAGAGTCTTGTCTTGTGTGCCCGTCTTTGCCTCTCTCGTTCACGTGATCCCACCCCGTCACATCATCAGAAGCGGCTGGAGAAGGTGAATGCAGACAAGGCAGCGCTGGGCTGGATGTGAAGCTGACAGAGTCTTGTCTTGTGCGCCCATCTTTCCGTCCATTCATTCCCCCCTTACACTCTTTCCCTCTGCCCCTTTGTTCTTACCCTGTTCAGAAGCGCCACGAGAAGGTGAAGGCAGTGCTTGACTTGATGTGAAGCTGACAGAGGCATGCCCCTTTCACCCCTCCATGCTCTCATTCTCCACACCCTTCCCTCTCCCTTCTTTTATTCCTCGGCCCTTTCAGAAGCGGCACCAGAAGGTGAACGCGGACAAGGCAGCACTTGATGTGAAGCTGACAGAGTCTTGTCTCATGTGCCTGTCCTTCCACCCCTCTGTTTTCCTCCCAACCTTATCCCACCTCTCTCAACACCAGAAGCGGCACCAGAAGGTGAACGCGGACAAGGCAGCGCTTGATGTGAAGCTGACAGAGTCTTGTCTCATGTGCCTGTCCTTCCACCCCTCTGTTTTCCTCCCAACCTTATCCCACCTCTCTCAACACCAGAAGCGGCACCAGAAGGTGAACGCGGACAAGGCAGCGCTTGATGTGAAGCTGACTGAGTCGGGGGCGGACTGGGGAAAGAAGGCCATTACCAAGGAGGTGCGTGCTTGTGTGTATGTGTGCGTATGTGCCGTGTGATAGTTAGTTGAACAACAAGTAGTCACAAGGCTGCACTTGATGTGAAGCTGACCGAGTTGGGGGCCGACTGGGGAAAGTAGGCCATTACCAAGGAGGTGTGCTTGTTGGGGGGAAGGAAGAGGTCTGGAGGGGGATGTGCATACAATACACCCGTGTGTGTGTGGGTTTGTGTGTGTGTGTGGGTTTGTGTGTGTGTGGGTTTGTGTGTGTGTGGGTTTGTGTGTGTGTGGGTTTGTGTGTGTGTGGGTTTGTGTGTGTGTGTGTGTGGGGGGGGGGGGGGGGGGTTTGTGTGTGTGTGTGTGTGTGTGTGTGCGTGCGTGTGCGCGTGTGCGTGCGTGTGCGTGCGTGTGCGTGTGCGCGTGCGTGTGCGTGTGTTTGTGTGTGTGTGCGTGTGTGTGCGTGTGTGTGCGTGTGTGGGTGTTTGTGTGTGTGTGTGTGCGCGTGAGTGTGCATGTGTGCGTGTGTGGGTGTTTGTGTGTGTGTGTGCGTGTGTGTGTGTTTGTGTGTGTGTGTGTGTGTGTGTGTGTGGTTGTGTGTGTGTGTGTGCGCACGTGCGCGTGTGTGTGTGTATTGCGGGTGTGGTGTCAGGGTTGTAAGAGGGCTTTTGAGAATTCTCAAATGTGATTCCCCTATTGCAAGTGTGTTTTGAGACGTCTCAAAACATTCCCCTATTGCGGGTGTGTTTTGAGACGTCTCAAAACATTCCCATATTGCGGGTGTGGTGTCGGGGTTGTAGGAGTGCAGGTGACTTTTGAGTCGACTCAAAAGTCACCTCGTGTGGTGTCGGGGTTGTAGGAGCGCAGGTGCTGCTGCTCTAGTCTTGAGAAGTCTGTAAAATCTCTATTCTTCTTTCCTCCTCGTCTTTCCCCCTCTTATTTCCCTCTCGTGTTCCCCCTTCCTTTCCCTTCCCCCGTCCCTTTCCTCCTCGTCTTTCCCCATCCTCCCACCATCCCATCCCCATCACCCCCTCCCACCACCACCACCACCCTCCCCCCAGGCACTGAGCAGGGCAACAGAGCTGCTGCAGAGCTGCAAGCCGCATGTTCACAGCAGCCTTCCTTACATTTCCCCTTGTGTTCCACCCATCCCCCAACCCCCCCTCACCACCACCCTCCCTATAGGCTCTGACCAGGGCGACTGAGCTGCTGCACAGCTGCAAGCCGCGTGTCCACACGTCCTTCCATCCCCACACAACCCTCTCTTCTTATCCCCTTTCCCCCTCTTCCCCACCAAGTTGACTTTTGAGTCGACTCAAAAGTCAACTCCTTCCATCCCCGTACAACCCTCTCTTCTTATCCCCTTTCCCCCTCTTCCCCACCAAGTTGACTTTTGAGTCGACTCAAAAGTCAACTCCTTCCATCCCCGTACAACCCTCTCTTCTTATCCCCTTTCCCCCTCTTCCCCACCAAGTTGACTTTTGAGTCGACTCAAAAGTCAACTCCTTCCACCCCCACACAACCCTCTCTTCTTATCCCCTTTCCCCCTCTTCCCCACCAAGTTGACTTTTGAGTCGACTCAAAAGTCAACTCCTTCCATCCCCGTACAACCCTCTCTTCTTATCCCCTTTCCCCCTCTTCCCCACCAAGTTGACTTTTGAGTCGACTCAAAAGTCAACTCCTTCCATCCCCGTACAACCCTCTCTTCTTATCCCCTTTCCCCCTCTTCCCCACCAAGTTGACTTTTGAGTCGACTCAAAAGTCAACTCCTTCCATCCCCGTACAACCCTCTCTTCTTATCCCCTTTCCCCCTCTTCCCCACCAAGTTGACTTCTGAGTCGACTCAAAAGTCAACTCCTTCCATCCCCGTACAACCCTCTCTTCTTATCCCCTTTCCCCCTCTTCCCCACCAAGTTGACTTTTGAGTCGACTCAAAAGTCAGCTCCTTCCATCCCCGTACAACCCTCTCTTCTTATCCCCTTTCCCCCTCTTCCCCACCAAGTTGACTTTTGAGTCGACTCAAAAGTCAACTCCTTCCATCCCCGTACAACCCTCTCTTCTTATCCCCTTTCCCCCTCTTCCCCACCAAGTTGACTTTTGAGTCGACTCAAAAGTCAACTCCTTCCATCCCCGTACAACCCTCTCTTCTTATCCCCTTTCCCCCTCTTCCCCACCAAGTTGACTTTTGAGTCGACTCAAAAGTCAACTCCTTCCATCCCCGTACAACCCTCTCTTCTTATCCCCTTTCCCCCTCTTCCCCACCAAGTTGACTTTTGAGTCGACTCAAAAGTCAACTCCTTCCACCCCCACACAACCCTCTCTTCTTATCCCCTTTCCCCCTCTTCCCCACCAAGTTGACTTTTGAGTCGACTCAAAAGTCAACTCCTTCCATCCCCGTACAACCCTCTCTTCTTATCCCCTTTCCCCCTCTTCCCCACCAAGTTGACTTTTGAGTCGACTCAAAAGTCAACTCCTTCCATCCCCGTACAACCCTCTCTTCTTATCCCCTTTCCCCCTCTTCCCCACCAAGTTGACTTTTGAGTCGACTCAAAAGTCAACTCCTTCCATCCCCGTACAACCCTCTCTTCTTATCCCCTTTCCCCCTCTTCCCCACCAAGTTGACTTCTGAGTCGACTCAAAAGTCAACTCCTTCCATCCCCGTACAACCCTCTCTTCTTATCCCCTTTCCCCCTCTTCCCCACCAAGTTGACTTTTGAGTCGACTCAAAAGTCAACTCCTTCCATCCCCGTACAACCCTCTCTTCTTATCCCCTTTCCCCCTCTTCCCCACCAAGTTGACTTTTGAGTCGACTCAAAAGTCAACTCCTTCCATCCCCGTACAACCCTCTCTTCTTATCCCCTTTCCCCCTCTTCCCCACCAAGTTGACTTTTGAGTCGACTCAAAAGTCAACTCCTTCCATCCCCGTACAACCCTCTCTTCTTATCCCCTTTCCCCCTCTTCCCCACCAAGTTGACTTTTGAGTCGACTCAAAAGTCAGCTCCTTCCATCCCCGTACAACCCTCTCTTCTTATCCCCTTTCCCCCTCTTCCCCACCAAGTTGACTTTTGAGTCGACTCAAAAGTCAACTCCTTCCATCCCCGTACAACCCTCTCTTCTTATCCCCTTTCCCCCTGTTCCCCACCAAGTTGACTTTTGAGTCGACTCAAAAGTCAACTCCTTCCATCCCCGTACAACCCTCTCTTCTTATCCCCTTTCCCCCTCTTCCCCACCAAGTTGAACTTTGAGTCGACTCAAAAGTCAACTCCTTCCATCCCCACACAACCCTCTCTTCTTATCCCCTTTCCCCCTCTTCCCCACCACTCCCCCCCAATCACCTCCACCCTTCCTTTAGTCGCTGAGCAGGGTAACGGAGTTTCTGCACAGCTGCAAGCCGCAAGTGCCTCGCGTTCGCCTATCCCTTCACATTCCCCTCTTCTCTTCCCCTTTCCCCATCACCACCTCCCTCCAGGCCTTGAGCAGGGCAACAGAGCGGCCGCACAGCTGCAACCAGGATGGCCGCGCATACAGCCTTCCTTACCTTTTCCCTTGTCTCTCCCTTTTGCCTTTCCCCCTCATCCTTTGACTTACCCCATCCGTTCCCCATCCCCCTCCAGGCGCTGAGCAGGGCAACGGAGCTGCTGCAGAGCTGCAAGTCACATGTCCGCACAGCCTCAGTTTCCTTACATTTTCCTTCGTTTCGGATTCGTATTCGTATTCGTCCCATCCTCCCTCCTCTCCCCTCCCAACCCCAGGCGCTCACCTCACCAGGGCGACGGAGCTGCTGCACAGCTGCAAGCCCCAGGCAGACAGGCACTGACTGTCCCCACAGCCTTCCTTACGTTTCCCTTCTTCTCTCCCCATCCTCCCCATCCTCCCCCCATCCTTCCCCATCCCCCCCCCTTCCCCCCCCCTTCCCCCCCCCTTCCAGGCTCTCACCAGGGCAACGGAGCTGCTGCACAGCTGCAAGCCCCAGACAGGCCCTGTAATTTCCAAGAAGGTTCCCAGCTGGAAGGTGGGTGGGAGGGGCTGTCAGTATCTGTGTGTGTGTGTGTGTGTGTTTCTGCGCATATGTGTCTGTGTGTTAGTGTGTGTGTTACGTGATGAGCTACCCCCGTGTTCTGCTACAGAGCGTGAATTCCTCGCCTTTATGTTCGCCTTTATTTAGGCCGTTCCCAGTCCTTTAAATAGAACAGCTAGCCTTCATGTACAACCGGAGGTTGCCTCTCAAAGAACTCTTAGCTTCTCGTGTAGAGAGGGTGTGTTTGAGACGTCTCAAAAACACCCTCTCTACACGTAGCTTGCCTTCAAAGTCCGAGCAAGGGGCTGTTTTGACGCTTAGCTTTGAGACTCTTCCCATCCCGTGACATGGTGCGTGCGAGCTGCAACGCTATGTGGACTATGAGACAAAAGGGTATTAGGTCATTTCCCTGCCTAGTGTCAAGAAGTTAGTGTCAAGAAGTGCTCGCACCCTATTGGTCCAGAACAAATTTCCGGCCAATGCGATTGGTCAATCGTTTTTTTAACCAATCGCATGCGCAAACTTCTTGACACCAACTTCTTGACACTAGGCAGGGATACGACCTTATTGAGAATTCTCAAGTTGACTTTTGAGTCGACTCAAAAGTCAACGCTACGTGGACTATGAGACAAAAGGGTATTATTGAGAATTCTCAAGTTGACTTTTGAGTGGACTCAAAAGTCAACGCTACGTGGACTATGAGACAAAAGGGTATTTTTGAGAATTCTCAAGTTGACTTTTGAGTCGACTCAAAAGTCAACGCTACGTGGACTATGAGACAAAAGGGTATTTTTGAGAATTCTCAAAAATACTCTGCAACGCTATGTGGACTACACGAGACAAAGGGCATGTGTCCTGGCGATCAGCTCATGCCTTTCGCTCCGTTTTGTTCTATTTTCATTCATCCCCGTTACAGGGTTACTCATGTTCCGCTACAGAGCGCGAGCTGCAGCGCTACATGGACTTCGAGACCAGAGGCATGTGCCCTGACGATTGGTTGTTCGTCCAAGACCTAATTTTCCGCAAACAATGCCACTCACTACCAAAGAGGCCCTGCCTTGCTCGCACGGCACACAAGATAGTGGAGGTGGGTGGTGGGTGGGTGGTGAAGGGTTGCGTGGGTGGTGCGTAGGTGAGGGGCCACTCGCAAGCAGTGCCACTCGCAAGCAGTGCCACTCGCTGCCCAAGAGGCGCTGCCTTTCTCGCACGGCACACAAGATAGTGGAGGTGGGTGGGTGTTGTGTGGGTCGATATATCATGGGTATGTGAGGTGAGGGGCATGTGTCCTGACGACTGGCTATTTGCCCAGGATTTGATCTTCCGGAAGCAGTGCCACTCCTTACCAAAGAGGCGCTGCCTTTCTCGCACGGCACACAAGATAGTCGAGGTGGGTGGGCGAGTGGTTGGCTGGGTGGGTGGGTGGGTGTGTAGGTGGGCATGCGGGTGGATGTATCATACACGGTTGTGTGAGGGGGATGTGTCCTGAGTCCTGCCTCAACGCCCTCACCCCTTCCTTGCTTTCTCATCTGCCCCTCCTGTACTGTGTTTTCCCTGCCTGCTTCCTCCCTTCCCCGCTCCTACCCCAGCCCTTGTCAAGACCTACCGCTCTCTTCTCCCAGTCAGTCCTGCAAGACACCTCAGTGCCGTGGAACAACCACGCCTGCTTCTCATTCACCTTCTCCCTCAACGCCCTCTCCCCCTCCTTGCTGCTACTCTGTCTACCCTCCTTCCAGCCCCTCTCAAGGCCAACGTCTCTTTTCTCCCAGTCCGCCCTGCAAGACGCCTCAGTGCAGTGGAACAACCACGCCTTCTCTTCCTTCGCCTCCCTCAACGCCCTCTCCCCCTCCCTTTCCCCCTCCCTCTCTCTCCCGTGCCCATCTTGCAGCCCCTCTCAAGGCCAGCTGCTCTTTTCTCCCAGTCCGCCCTCCAAGACGCCTCAGTCCGGTGGAACAACCACGCCATCTCCTCCTTCGCCGTGTCCCCCAGCTCTCTTCCCCCCTCCTTGCCTCCTCATCTGCACCTTCCGTACTGTGTTTTGAGTCGACTCAAAAGTCTTGCCTCCTCATCTGCACCTTCCGTACTGTGTTTGCGCTGCCTGCTTCTCCACTCCTTCCATACAGCCCCTGTCAAGACCAACGTCCCTCTTCTCCCAGTCAGCCCTTCAAGACTCATCAGTGAGGTGGAACAACCACGCCTTGTCCTCCTTCGCCTCCCTCAACGCCCTCTCCCCCTCCGCCCTTGCCTCTGCCACGGCCGGCACAGGGGACGCCTGCAGACACCGATTCTGCCTCACCGTCTCCAGTTTTCTCCCCTTTTTCTCCTTTTTTTCTCCCCTTTATTCCCTCCTCGCTCCTCCTGCAGCCCTTGTCAAGACCAGCCTCTCTCTTTGCTCAATCCGCCCTCCAAGACTCATCTGTCCGTTGGAACAACCACGCCTTCTCCTCCTTCGCCTCCCTCAACGCCCTCTCCCCCTCCGCCCTCGCCACTGCCACGGCCGGCACGGGGGACGCCTGCGGGCGGCAGCCGGGTGGCGGCGGTTGTTGGAACATGAGTGCGGAGGAGAGGAGGTGGATGGTTAAGCCGCCCAAGAACACAGCAGCAGGAGGAGCTCTTACGGTGAAGGAGGTTATTGCAATCAAGAAGGGGGCGCTGAGGTGAGAATGGGGGGTTTTGGAACATGAGTGAGTAAGAGAGGACGGGAGAGGAGGTGGATGGCTAAGCCGCCCAAGAATACAGCGGCTGGGGGAGCGCTTACGGTGAAGGAGGTTATTGCGATCAAGAAGGGGGCGCTGAGGTGAGAATGGGGGGTTTGTTGGAACATGAATGAGGAGGAGAGGATAGGAGGAGAGGATAGGAGGAGAGGATTGTAGGAGAGTAGGGTTTTTTTGAGAATTCTCAAAAACACCTTGTTGGAACATGAATGAGGAGGAGAGGATAGTAGGAGAGGATAGTAGGAGAGGATAGTAGGAGAGGATAGTAGGAGAGGATAGTAGGAGAGGATAGTAGGAGAGGATAGTAGGAGAGGAGGTGGAGGACAGTAGGTGGATGGCTAAGCCGCCCAAGAACACGGCAGGGGGAGGGGCGCTTACTGTGAAGGAGGTTATCGCGATCAAGAAAGGAGCTCTGAGGTGAGAAAGGGAGTGGACAGTGGGAGGTGGATGGCTAAGCCGCCCAAGAACACAGCAGCAGGGGGGGCTCTTACTGTGAAGGAGGTTGTTGCGATCAAGAAGGGGGCGCTGAGGTAAGTTTGAGATGATTGCTTGCAGGCAATAATTTGTGGTTGACAAGTCATGGGTGCGGAGGAGAGGAGGTGGATGGTCAAGCCGCCCAAGAACACAGCGGCAGGAGGGGCGCTTACTGTGAAGGAAGTCATTGCGATCAAGAGAGGAGCTCTGAGGTGAGAATGGGGGTTTGTTCGAACATGAATGAGGAGGAGAGGATAGTAGGAGAGGAGGTCGAGGCGAGTAGGTGGGTAGTTAAGCCGCCCAAGAACACAGCGGCTGGGGGAGCGCTTACTGTGAAGGAGGATATCGCGATCAAGAAGGGGGCGCTGAGGTGAGAAAGGGAGTGGACGGTGGGTGATGAGTGGTGGGTGTTGGAGCATTAGTGCAGCAGGGGGGGGCGCTTACTGTGAAGGAGGATATCGCGATCAAGAAGGGGGCGCTGAGGTGAGAAAGGGAGTGGACGGTGGGTGATGAGTGGTGGGTGTTGGAGCATGAGTGCAGCAGGGGGGCGCTTGCTGTGAAGGAGGTTATTGCGATCAAGAAGGGGGCGCTGAGGTGAGCTCAGGGAGTAGTGAGGAAAGGCGGGCGAGGTGATTGTTGAGAGATGACTGCAGGAGGAGGGGCGCTTACTGTATCGAAATCACTTTTGAGATTTCTCAAAAGTGAAAGGAGGGCGAGGTGATTGTTGAGAGATGACTGCAGGAGGAGGGGCGCTTACTGTATCGAAATCACTTTTGAGATTTCTCAAAAGTGAAAGGAGGGCGAGGTGATTGTTGAGAGATGACTGCAGGAGGAGGGGCGCTTACTGTATTGAAATCACTTCTGAGAATTCTCAAAAGTGAAAGGAGGGCGAGGTGATTGTTGAGAGATGACTGCAGGAGGAGGGGCGCTTACTGTATTGAAATCACTTTTGAGAATTCTCAAAAGTGAAAGGAGAGCGAGGTGATTGTTGAGAGATGACTGCAGGAGGAAGGGCGCTTACTGTCAAGGAGGTTATTGCTTACTGTCAGAATCGTTTGCCTGCCTCTCCCATCCATCACCCCTCTCTTTCAGAATCGGTCTTGATTTCAACGGGGGGTCAGGCTCGTTCGCTGCGCACATGGCGAGGCACAACGTGACCATGATGACGTCAGCAATGAATCTTGAAGCTAATGTGGGGCGGAAGAAGGGTCTTCCCTTTCTGGAAACCATTGCCCTGAGGGGCCTTGTTCCCATCTGGCTTCCCTACAAGGTGGGTGGGTGCGTCTGTTGCACTGCATGCTGCATGCTACACGGCACGAGGTGTGGGAGAGAGATGAACTGCAAGCCAACGTGGGGCGCAAGAAGGGTCTGCCCTTTCTGGAAACCATTGCTCTCAGGGGACTTGTTCCCATCTGGCTTCCGTACAAGGTGGGTGTGACTGTTGCAATAGAAGGGACTGCCCTGTGAACCTCGGGGCGAATGTGGGGCGCAAGAAGGGGTTTCCGTTTCTAGAGACCATTGCCCTGAGGGGACTCGTTCACATCTGGCTTCCCTGTAAGGTGGGTGTGTCTGTTGCATGAATTGCTGCGCATGGTGTGGGAGGGAGAGAGATGAACCTCGGGGCGAATGTGGGGCGCAAGAAGGGTCTTCCCTTCCTGGAAACCACTGCCCTGAGGGGACTTGTTCCCATCTGGCTTCCCTGTAAGGTGGGTGAGTTGGCTGCTGCATTTGACGAACCTGGTTGACAGGTGTGGGAGAGAGATGAACCTCGAGACCAACGTGGGGCAGAAGAAAAGGGTTATCTTTTTTAAAGACCTTTGCTTTCAGGGGCCTAGTGCCGTTGTGGCAGCCCTATAAGGCGTTGCAGGGAGTTTTTGAGAATTCTCAAAAACTCCCTGTTGTGGCTGCCCTATAAGGCGGGCAGGTCAGGTCTGTCTGCTGCACACTGCACATGGTGTGGGAGGTTGATGAATCTCGAGGCCAATGTGGGGCGAAAGAAGGGGTTTCCATTGTCTTTTTGCAGCGCAAGAAGTTTCTTTCCCTTCCTTCCCACTCTCTCCCACACCCCCTTGCATCAGGTGCGCCTTCCATTCTATGGCAACACTATAGACATTGTACACGCCACCAACGCCATCAAGTTCACCCTCTCCCCCCCCTTGACTTGTTTCACTCCCATCAGGTCCGCCTGCCCTTCTACGACAACACTTTGGACATCCTTCATGCCACCAATGCCATCATTTCGGCTTCTTTCCCCCTCACACCACCCCCACTTATTTCTCTTCCATCCCATCAGGTTCGCCTGCCCTTCTACGACAACACTTTGGACATCCTTCACGCCACCAATGCCATCATTTCGGCTTCTTTCCCCCCCACACCACCCCCACTTCTTTCTCTTCCATCCCATCAGGTTCGCCTGCCCTTCTACGACAACACTTTGGACATTCTTCACGCCACCAACGCAATCAAGTTTATGCCATCGCCTGCTGAATTTGAGGAGGTTCTATTCGAGTGGGATCGCGTGCTGAGAGTCGGTGAGTTGGCACATGTCAGATATCTGTCTGTGTGGTCACCTTTGCACGACAACACCGTAGACACATTCCACACGCCACCAACGCCATCAAGTTCATGCCGTCGCCTGCTGAGTTTGTAGAAGTCCTGTTCAAGTGGGACCGCGTGCTACAAGCCGGTGAGTTGGCCTTTCAGCAACGTGCACATGCCAGCGTGTGCAGTTCGATCTATTGTTCTTGAATCTGCTCAAGTACCGTTACCTCCACTGGAGCCTCAACCCCCCCTCCCTTCCCCATGCCATCTTCTGTGCCTTGCCCGTCTCCCTTGATATGCCCCTCTTTTCCGTCCCTCTCCACGCCCCCTTAAATCAGGTGGAGAAATGTGGTTTGAGGAATTCACTGCCTCGGCAGCAGAAATGCCCTCATAATTGTCAGTGCTGGACCTTCTAAAGTACCGCCACCTGCATTGGAGCCTCACTCCCTGCAGGGCCATGATTGGCAAGCCTGCTGGCACTGTCATTCTGCACTGGAGCCTCACCTCTTTCACACCCCCTGACTGGCACTTCATCTTTTCGTTTTTCCCCTCTTGCCCGCCAGGTGGAGTGATGTGGTTTGAGGAGTCAACAGCCTCGGCAGCAGATGTGCCATCCCACCTCTCAGTCCTAGATCTCCTGCATTGGAGGCTCACCCCCCTACCCCTCTACCCGTCTTCCGTGCCTTGTCCGTCTCTCTTCTTTGTATCTCTTTCCCTCCCTCACCCATGTTGTATCCTTTCTCCTTCAATCAGGTGGTGTGATGTGGTTTGAGGAATTCACAGCCTCGGCAGCAGAAATGCCATCATACCTCTCAGTGCTGGACCTTCTAAAGTACCGCCACCTGCATTGGAGCGTCACCCCCCCCAAGGCTATGATTGGCAAACCTGCTGGCACTGTCATTCTGCACTGCCTTCTCGAGAAACCCATGCGGAAAGACTTGTGATTCTAGAGGTGTTATTGTTACAGTGCTTTTGAGAAACTTAACAATGATTGCAAGCCTGCCAGCACCATCATTCTCCACTGCCTGCTTGACAAGCCCATGCGGAAGGCTTGGTAGTCTTTGTGTTGTTGCTGTTACTATAGTGCTTTTCACACCTCTTTTGCCAGAGAAGTTCATAATGTTCATGCGTAAGCATGTTGGTTTGCATGTCATGCAAACAAGTGTTAGCTGCGCATCCATGATTGTAACCTGCTTTGAAACTTCAGTGGAACCCTTCCAGGCCATTCCTGCAGGATGAGACATAAGTAATTGCTACAAGAGTAGACATGGTCTACTAAATGCATTCAGCATAAGAAACTAAACAACCAAATAATTCACACACATTCACTCTCACCTCACATGCGCATGCGCCCACACGACCACGCACACACACACACACCCACACGCATGCATTCCAGCTTTCAAACCAAACTTTCCCAGCTTATGGTATGACTCTTCAGAACCATTCTTCCAACAACTCTGCTGCCATAGCTCGTTCACACACGTCATCTGCCAGTATCATGCACTGCATATGCAAAACCCACAAAAATTATCACTGCTGGCATTTTGATTAGCACATTTACAAGCACCTTTCTAGAAACAACGTAACTCACCTTCAAGACTTTCACAGCTGCTTCACCATTTGCTCCACTCAGTAGGTAACTTGCGGAGGTTTCTTTCAGCATCGGAGCATTATGCAAGTTCGCTGCCTTCCAAAATTCGAAGGCTGTGTCTTCTGTCAAACATGTGCAGAGACGAGAGTCAAGGAACCGAGTGAGTTCCACAACTTCGTATTTGTCAGCTGCAACAAGGAGTTTCAATTCCTGCACCACGATGCTAGTGAGCAAGTCAGAAGTTTTCTTGCAAGCATAGCAGAAATTAGCAATACAAATCACAAGGGTTCATTCCACTTCACCTCGATTGTTGCATCTTCTTTTTGGAGCTCGCCAGTGTACATGAATTCAAGAAGCTGCTCCAATGTAGAGGAGTCCAGATCGTGTATCAGAACAGAGTCTTTCTTAGCTTCTTGAAAGTCACCACTGAACATCTTGGCAAAGACAGGAGACCTGTAACCACAGACAAGAGTACACACAATCATACCAGCTTAGTAGAATTGATTTTAAGCATAACACATCGACTAGGGATGCGTAGTCAACAATCAGAACACACACTTCCAGTGAGAGACTCGGAAAGACAGGAGCCACCTGTTGCCACCATAACATTAACATAACAACACGATGGTACCGCAAGAAGAAAATGGTAACACACATTGGTCTACTTACCATGCAGCAAGAATACAGCGATGAGCGGAGATATTCCCTCCGTCAGTTGTCTCCAGAGTAACATCGCAAAACGATATATCAAGCATACCCTTGACCTTCAGTAAAAAGAGATGCGTGCGGCCCAGTTTGGATTTTGATTCTCTCGCTTCAATTCTGGACCCTTCTAGAAGACACTCCAGCGATTTCACCTTTTCTTCTGCCTCCCTCTTGACTCTATTTAACTCGTATCGCGCGTCGCTCTCGGCACGTTCCAGTTGCCGCTCAGAATGGGCAATGGACCGCTCTAGTTGACGCTCTCGAGATTCATATCGCTGTACACAACACCCACAGATTTCTCTGGACTTCTTCTTGTATGCCTCGCAGAAATCACAGATCGGCATCGCGGAAGTGTGGAGGGAAAGACACAACCATTCTTCAACCAACAAGCTCGATTATTACTAGTAGAGACGATTCGCTCAGAACGTTACGTCACCTGGTTACGCTGCGCCACCATCCAACTTTCGGATTGTCCATTCTGGACGGGAGCTCCATCGACCCTCGTCGTACCTAACGTATGATCAACAGAAAGCAAGATTGCCATGCCGCCACGACACTTCACTTAAAACCGGTATACTTACAGGATGGTGGAAAACTTATCTGAGCTCGCAAACGCGGGCTTCGCAGGGCCGTGCCGATATCGCCTCCTAACCTGCATGAATATGGGAAAGCTCGAACCGCAAACGCGTCATCGCACATGGCTCCTAGGCTTTGATCGGTTCTCCTTCACTCGTTTCCTCTCCGCTATGGCGCGATTGCCTTTCCGGTATGAGCACACCGATGAGTTTTTGTTCATCCCTTGGGTTGTAACACTCACGAACTTTTGAAACACTTCTGGTATTTAGAAAGAACTCAAGGTACTAGTGAGCCTCACTAGGGAAAATTTCATCAAGTTGCCGGTAAACTCACAACAGTACGTTGTCTAATCACACCTATGACTTCCCATCACCTAACCTACCAGTGAACAATGTTTTATCCAGTATGTTCACTGCCACTGTTCTCTCAGCCTTGTCATCCGCCAACAAAACATCCTGCAAGATACAGCGAAGAGGCACAAACTCACGGAAGCATCCTTGAAATACACAAAATAGCATTCTGTCAACAAAAACAGAGTCTCCTCTGCTTGCAGCCACCAGGCTGGTGGCTTTGGTGGAGAAGGATTGTACTGTAGGTTTGTACTGTATTTGCATCTTGATTTTCAGAGCTTACCCTCGGAGCATCTAGGCGACACTTGTTGACCAGTAGTTTGCACAACTGTGACTCCAAATTGTCCTTCAGCTCCAACACTTCGTACTTGTCTGCTGCCACAAGAAGCTTTATCTCCTGAAATGTCAATGGATACAGGAAAACTCAATACAATGCAGAGAGCAGCCCAGCAAAGGATTGACTGCACATAAGCCGATGATTGTGACATGACTCTCCGAGGAGTGTGCAGTGCAGTCGTCATAGGCCGCTTGCATCCACATACATGACCACGTCATAAATGTGCGGATTATGGAAACAAGAACAATTGAAGACGTCGAACTGAGTCAGCCAAAATCTCAGCTCGTCAACTGACTCTGGTGTCAAGTAAATGGATTCCCCCCAAGTTTGGCACGCACTAATTTGAGAAAGTAGGTGACGGGAGAAGGCACGAGCGATGGTGCCAAGTGCCAGCGCCATAGAGGCTAGCATGCCTGCCACTCTAGCCAGTCGGCGAACTGGGTACGACGGCCCTGCGTGCTGATTCGGCACAAATGGTCGAGTTCCTCAAACAACCGGCCTCGGCGGTCAGCATCGACAGAGAAGGAGGAGGTGCGAGTGTCCAGCATGAGGCCAAGAAATTTGAGCCGTTGCGAGGGCTCGAGTTGTGATTTCTCCATATTGACGACAAAGCCGGCGGAGCTGAGGTCATCTAGAATGACGGCTCGTGTTCGGATTTCCTCAGCCCAAGTAGCACTGATGAATAGGAGATCGTCCACATAGGGGATTAACCGAATCCCGTTGCTGCGCCAACGCTTAGCAAGTTGCTTGTTTAGCTGCGTCAAGACGAATGGAGCTGTGGCAAGCCCAAAGGGCAAGGACAAGAATTAATATTGTTGGCCTTGCAATGAAAATCCGAGGAACCGCCAAAAGGATGGGTCGATGTCCACGTGACGGTAACCCGATTTAAGGTCTATTGTAAACAGCCATTCACCCTGGCGCACTAGGTCGGGTACCCGATTAAGTCCCTCGTACCGAAAACGAGGAATGGAGAGGAACGAATTCACGTGGCGAAGGTCGAGAATGAGCCTTTTCTTAGAAGGCTGGACGATCAAGTTGAGTGTGTCAGAATGTTATTCTCTAGCCTGTAGTGGGGTGCTCTATAGCGAGTACAACCCATCTAGGGTCTGCTATATGTATCCTCATTGCTGCTAGTGAAACCCCCTCTTCTTCATTCCTCAATTCTCACATGCTATCAGAGCATCTACGGTCCTGGCCTGTGGGCCCACCTAACTGCTTCCGCTGCTACTCTGTGTTCGGCACGCCCCGTGGCGTGCCCCTCGCCCTACTCTTAGCGGCCCCGTTGCCCCCCTTCCAGGCCCCTCGCGGCCCCTTCGCGGCCCCGTTGCCGCCCTTCCAGGCCCCTCGCGGCCCCTTCGCGGCCCCGTCGCTGCCCCTTTCGCGGCCCGTCGCCGCCCTTCCAGGCCCCTCGCGGCCCCTTCGCGGCCCCGTCGCCGCCCCTATCGGCCCCGTCGACGCCGCCAGCGGCCCCGTCGACACCGCCAGCGGCCCCGTCGCCGACCCTAGCGGCCCCGTTGCCGCTCCTATTGGCCCCGTCGACGCCGCCAGCGGCCCCGTCGCCGACCCTAGCGGCCCCGTCGCCGCTCCTATCGGCCCCGTCGCCTCCGCCAGCGGCCCCGTCGCCGCCGCCAGCGGCCCCGTCGCTGACCCTAGCGGCCCCGTCGCCGCTCCTATCGGCCCCGTCGCCGCCGCTAGCGGCCACGTCGTCGCCGCCATCGGCCCTGTCGCCGCCTCCAGCGGCCCCGTCGCCGCCACTTGCGGCCCCGGTCCCGCCCCGGCCATGCCCCGTCGCCAGCCGCGGCGCACCGGGGGCACGTGCACCGCCCCCCCCCCCCCCCCCCCCCTTTCCCGTCGCCCGTCGCGGCTCCTTCGGGGGCTGGGGGAGGGGGGCGAGCATTGCCCCTTCTGCCGCCTGTTTTGGCGCCCTGGGAGACCACGCGTCGCCCCCCCCCCCCCCCCCCCCCCCTAACCTCCCTACCCGCCGTCCCGCCCTGCCCTGTGTTAGGGTCTGGGGGTGGCGAGTAGGGGGTGACGGGTGTATGGTCTCCCCTGCTCCTCCTCCTCCTTCGTCTCCCACTGCTGCAGCTGTCGCTGAGGGGGGTGGATGTGTGGGAGCCTGGGGTTTAGGGTTTAAGGGGGGTGCTGTGGGAGTGGAGCTAGGGTTTTGAGGGAGGTGGATGTGTGTGAGCCTGCGGTTTAGGGTGTAAGGGGGGTGCTATGGGAGTGGAGCTAGGGTTTTAGCAGGGGGTGTGTGTCGAGAGGTGTGGGGCAGCTGGAGGAGTTTGGTTGAACGGAGGTTGTCGTCGTGTCGTCAGCAGCACCAGTAGTCCGGGGCGCTGCTCCGGTAGCCCAGTCGTAGCCAGCTGTGCCAGTCGCCCGTGGGTCCGTTGCTCGTCTGCCGCTAGTCTTAGCCGCGGAGCCAGTTACTCCAGTAGTCCGGAGCGCTGTTCCGGTAGCCGCTGTGCCAGTGTGACTCCTGTTGCCCGTGTGTCTGCAGCTTCAGCCATCGCCTCCTATCTCCTCTCCTCTTACATTCTCGCCTCCTCCTCCTCACTTGCCCTTTGTGAATGACTCTAGCTTTGCTCGCTATTGTGAACTCCTGCTCTATGCCTGCTTGCTCATTGTGCTGATTACACCCAACTTGGGCTATGGGGGTGTGTCAGAATGTTATTCTCTAGCCTGTAGTGGGGTGCTCTATAGCGAGTACAACCCATCTAGGGTCTGCTATATGTATCCTCATTGCTGCTAGTGAAACCCCCTCTTCTTCATTCCTCAATTCTCACAGAGTGGGCTAATGCAATTAAGTGGCGCGCCAGCCGGGACCATACGCGCTGCGCCGGTGGCCAGAAGGTTGGCCACTGCTTCAGCTGCAAACGCCGTATGTTGTAGAGCGCCCGCATGATTTGGGGCATGGTGAGGGGTGGGTTCGCGAGATCGCCATGGCAGGCGATACCCCGCAGCGTTGACAGATAAGATGAACCGGCTCGTGCACCAAGTGTTCCACCACATAGAACAAGCTCGCAAGCGTCCTTGCATATGTCTCACAACAGCGCGAGATTCATTCGCGTTGGGCATGTAACCAGATTCTGGTGGGGCATAGAAGAGGACAGGAGTGGGTTGTCATAAGTAAACCAGCGTAGATATTACTACGACATTTAACGATCAAGGGCATTGTACTATGAATGTGGTCAAGCGATGATACGACGCAATGTCGGCGCCCATGCATTCGTTACGCACGCTCTTCTCTCCTCTCTTTCTTTTCTTTCTTTCTCTATTCTTTTTTTTTTTTTGTCATGCTTAATAAAGCACAAGTATGAAGGGTGTCAAATTATAATATTGTGTAGGCTATAGTGGGGTAGCCCATATGGGGTACACA